TAAGGTATCTATAAAAAAAAAAATCATATTGATTCGTTCATTTTAAAAAAAGTTATGGCAATTTTAAGTAAAAAAAATTGAAAAAATATCGAAAATTAGCGATTTTTAAATTTGTTATTTTTTGGGGGATTTCCCCCGTTTNGCGATTTTTAAATTTGTAATTTTTTGGGGGATTTCCCCCGTTTACGGGGAACGAGGGAAATTTTTTCAATTTTGAAGGGTAATGTCTTCGACTAGATACGATTTGTGATCTTTTGACATATTGTTCATCAAAATCGGTCCAGCGAGAGCTGAGATTGAGCGTTCACAGACACAAAAAAAAAAATAAAAAAAAAAACACATCATAGTAAAATTAATACCTTCTCAGCTTCGCATCGAAGCTAAAAAAGGTAGCAAAGTGGGGGTGGGTCGCGGGTATGTGTGGACGTAGCGTAGATGGGACAAGTATAGATAATATCAGACAGTGATTGAAATCACTATCATATGAAAGGCTTTGATTCAGATCTGTACATGTTTCATTTTAAAAAGTTAATAGGTAATCAAAAACCAACATAAACTTCTATTTTTTTAATTATATCCTGATTAGTAGTTCTGTGATATATAAATATAATATTTGAATAAAAATGTACTATTTTAAATAAATTTAGTTTAAATTGAGAAATTGTAAAGTAGTTGTCACTTTTTGGGTAAACACGTATAAAAATTGAAGGGCTTCATACAAAACTTTTCATTTTTTGTCAATTAAGAATAAATGGTTTTCAAAGAATTTTTATCAAGGTCCAAAATATACTTTTCTAAATCTATTTTTCACGCTGATTTCAACTCTGCAATTAGATTTTTTCATAACCACTAATTTTTGGTATTATTTATAATAAGTTAAAAACAAGTATTAACACGTAAAATAATATTAACATGAAGAAGAAATTTCTTCTCACGAGGGGAGATAACAATCATGGGATCCTTGATATTTATTGAATTTAAATGATATAAAAATCAAATGAGTTGAACATTTTTTAGCTTCGATGCGTAGCTGAGAAGGTATTGGTTTTACTATGATGTGTTTGTTTTTTTTTTTTTTTTTTTTTT